ATGGGAACAAACAACTAGGATTCAACACAACAAACAAGTGTGCAGCCTCAAGATTCAGTTACATACAAACCTACCCTCCAAAATTTCACTTCTGCTTTACAGGAGTACCCCTTCCCTATTTAATAATGATCACCTTCATAAACAGCTTGCTCATTTTGGTAGAACAGGTAAGAGCTCTAGATTAATTTTCATGGATTTGAAAGTCTGCAGATAACCAATTTAGACATATTTAATCACAGTTGTATTGCTCCCTCAGACTATAAGCCAACATTGCAAAATTGGCATTAACCATTTTCTTCTCTGGGGGTGGAGAAAACCATGCTAGCTCTTGGCTCACAGTACCCCAGTGCATATCTTTATCACAAAGGCCATCCACAACATACTCATCGCAACAGTTATGCTGATTTTGTCTAAATTTGTATCAGCAGCTGACTGAAAAACGTTTTGGGAGTACATGAAAGAAGAATGTGAATTTAAGGTTGGGTTCAGCATGCAAGAACACAGCACTGCACTTGCCAAGAAACACCTGTGTGCAGACGAGAGAAACTTCACCTCTGAGCACACCTTTATCCCTCTGATTTGAGAGGGCTGAACTACACCAATGAATTACATGGAGTGTCAAAACTGAGGAGTGCAATACAAAGTAGCAACAACCATCAGCAGTAACTAAAAACTGCTGCAGAGAGTAAGATAAACTTAGCTGGATAGGATGGACAGTCAAGGAGCTCCCTTCACAGTAAGGCTTGAGGCAAGACTTCTTTTATAGCTTTAGGAGTTCTTTAACGGCAGATGATGCACATCTTAAACCACTTTGCTGATCTGTTTTCAGAGAAGCCAATACTGTCAAGACCAGCAGTCAGACCACATGAAGAGCCTGTTTTTATGGAGGTGGTAACATTAGAACAGGTACCAGTATTATGCAAAAGCTGGGAAAGATCAAAGGATACAGGAAACATGAACCTGTCTCTTCAGACAAAATGACATAAAGCTGTCATACTAACAGAAAGAGGGAAAAATTTCTAAAGTTACATTTGTCTGACCATCTCTTCCAGATTTTGACAGTACAAGCATTTAAAACTATTTTGTGCTCAACTCCAGTGTTGCAGTATTCAGGTTCTTAACTCTTAAAACATAACTCGCAAGTTAACCAGTCCAGGAAAGACATCATTCCAAAAGTTTACGGGTCCCAAGCTCTGAGTTTACTCTGGTTTTGCCAAAATTTCGGAATTTAAAACAAAATTAAAAACACTAATAAAAACAACCTCACCTTGTAACAGCATTAAGAAAATATTTTACTTGAAAACGTGCTATCATAACGCTAACAAACATGACTTTGATTACATGCACACAAATGATCATGCAAAAGAACACAAACCGTATGCATTTCTTTCCAAGTTTACTAACAGCTTTTAGTGAGCTTTTGATACTATATCAGGATGAAAGAAACAGTAGCATTAAAAGAAAAGCTTAAAGTTATACTGAAGCTAAAATATACAAGATTCCATCTTTTCAACATGGCCACAAGCAATGGTAGTCATCTATATGGGGCAGATTTGCAAAATTATTTCCATTTTACTAAGGATTATTAGGCAGCTTCAGACTACGAGAAAGAAAACATTATGCCATTAAATCCAGAGACAATTAAAAAAAATAAATCTTTAATCAAGCAAAAGAACTAATCTTTAAATTAAAATGACTGATCATGAAATGTTGGGATAGAAAGAAGCCGCCAAAAACATGCTTTTTCCCCCCCCCCCGAATGACTGAGGACTTCGACTTCATTGCATTGAATTTTGGGGTTGCTGTGAGAAAGAATGGGTATGGTTTTAACACTACATTGACAACTTGTCTAACATCAAGGGGAAAAAATATGCCAACAAAGAGCCAGTTAACAACACAATCTCAATTTACATACATCTAAAATAAGATCAATGGTTTTGAAGTTAACATTTTTTATTTTCTGGCATATTAAGTTGTCTTAAAAAGATCACGCATCATTCTTCAGTCACTTGTTTCGAAGTATGCACTGAAAAACATGCAGCATTCCATGGCCTGCTTGGTTACTTTGTCCCTTTTAAGACATGGAAGCAAGCAAAAGGCTTGTAAAGAATACCTGCCTAAATCTGCAAGCAAATACACAAAAAGCACTTACCACTGCTCTAAAACAATGACTGTTACAGTGAAATGAGCAATGAACGTATCTTTATATAGTTTCACTAACTCGGAGAACTGTATTGCCACTAAATAGAAGCGCTGGTAACAGTCAATAACAACTTATAACGAAGAAAAATCTTCAGTGCTATTTTCAAGGAAAAGAATATGTAGCCTACCAGTTTTCTACTGACATTTAATGTGGAAGCAAAACCAGTTTAAGACGTTCCCATTCCCCCCAGTCACTTATACCTGTAACAACATTCACTGCTTCTCTAACCACAATAGCACAACGGGTTACAGACATTGAGGAGTATAAACCCCAGTTTCACAAGAGGAGTAATGAGAAAGTGACCCAGTCTTACAAAACTGCCTCCCTCACAAACAGTTCTGTAAGAACAGTGAAGAAAAGACTCCTGGTGCAAGGGCAGGAGCAAGAACCTCTCAATCCAGGCTTTGCTGCAGAACACATACTGTGTCACTACAACCTATGTTATTTCCCTTATTTTAACTTATGCAAATCACACGCAAAATTACAAATTCAGTTACTAAGTTACGAAATAAACACTTGGACAACTTCATCTGCGTTGCATTCTTACTTCTAGCATAAAAATGCCAGAAATGCTATGCTACTTATCTGGTTTTAGAGGAAAAGAGAGGTTAAAGACATTGAGGGATCTTCTACTACTCAGAAGGAATTCTCCAGAACATTTTAATCTTTCTGCAACCAATGATTTTTAAGTTTGTTTAAAAAGTATCTGAAAGAATAACACTTTCTTCAAAAGTTGCTCCCAACTTTAGCAACAAGGTATAACCTTACCTGGAGAACTCAAGTTACCATCTTAATGCTCCAACTGCTCTGCACTGATAAAACCCTATGCCTCAGCAGAGCTCCACTGAGATCAACAACACAATCCTGCTGCAAGATCAAACGGCTCTCTGCCTCCAAACCATTTTCTTTCCAATCTTCTCTTTAACATCCGTCAAAATATTTGGCATACATATGCAAAACGGTGGGGGGGAGGGGGGAGGGGAAATTACAGACTGTAACTTTGCAGGCAACTACAATCACTGCATATTTTGAGACCACAATATTAAACATGCTAGTTTAATCTCCTGTTGTTGGTTACTGGTAATGGTTTTTAGCTTTTTCATTATTATTATTTACAAAGCCCTAAACAGTTTCCATGTGTTGAAAAACACTGTCATTGTTCTCTTCAACAAATAATTGGTTTTGCCCTCAGGTTCTCAGAGCCATTGACAATTCTGGCAATAACAACTTTTTGGATGTATTTTGGAGCTTGACATTCATTTTTAAGTCAGAATTTTTTTCCCTGCTGTGTAAGGAAATAGAATTTCACTGAAACAATATTTCTAGACCTTACAGTTGCAAAATGAAAGAAAGAAACAAAAAAAAAAAAAAAAAAAAGCACCGTAACTCTTGTAATTAGAGAAGTTATTATTTATTTGTTAGCTTTTACAGTGAAACTGAAAGTCATTTCAGCATTTATTGCTCCACTGGATGGAAGTGTTCTCAGAAGAGCAGAAAAAGAAATTACTGGAAAATACAAGATTATCTCACAGAAGCAGACTAGAGAAAGCAACGAGGACCATTCTCCTCTGTCTCCAAAATAACGAAGAGGCCAAACAGGTGAATCTGTCTGTGGTCTTGCAGTATTACTAAAATAGGAGATAACTGTATAATAGAGGCTCCAAATCTACAACCTTTCATGTTTAGGGCACAGACTTGAAGAGAGGAAAAGGAAGACCAGGAATAAAGACACTACGAGTGTATCTAATACAGATTACTCCGAGGCGAACATGAAAAATGCTAAACTCCGAATAGAGAAGGTGTTATCACCCTGTCCTCTCAGCCTGGATCACGGCTGGAGACCCAGCGGACTCCAGGATGCACTGAAGAACACCAGTGAAGAGCAGCATCCGCCCAACACCCTCCACGTTCAGCACGGGGACAGCACAAACCTTCGGGAAGGACAAGGAACGCCAAGTACCGGGCAGCCGCCGTAAAGTTCGGCGGCAGCAAGAGCGTGTAATATCAACAGCTCCTCTCTCCTATCCCACCCCTCCGAAAAGGGCAGCGCGGGGCTGGGGCCGAAGGCGAGAACTTGAACCCGAGTGGACTACTGCTGCCGTTGCCACACGCCCCTTCCACCCAACAAAAACAACCCTGGCCTCCCCTGCGCGCTTCCCAGCGCCGGACAGCTCTCACTGCGTTTAGCGGGGCCCGGAAAAACCGACGGACGGTGTACGCGCTCCTGCCGCCACCACCGCTCCCCTGCCCGCCCGGCGAGAGGCCCCAGGGCACCGTTCCCGCCACCCGGCGGCCGTGCTGAGCCGGCACAGGCGGCCGGAGCGAAGCCAGAGGGACGCTGAGCCCACTGCGTGTGGAGGATCACGGGCCCTCCAGAGCTGCCGCCGCGGCCCCGCCTGAGCTTGCACAAGAACGTTACGGGCAGACGGGGTCGAGGCGGCGGGAACGGGGCCGCAGCGGGGGGAGGAGGCGGAGGGCTGACAGCAGCCACGGCCGCCGCGTAGCGCTTCCCCTTCGGGACCGCCATCGACGCCACCGCTGCCGCCGCATCTCCTCCCGCAACAACAGCCCGGGCCCGCCCTGCACCAGCGGCCACCGCCCTCCGCCCGGCTGCGGACACCCAGACACACACCCCCCGCCCGGGCGCCGCCTTCGCCTCCTCCCCCCGCCGGCGCTGCTCCTTGACAGTTGGCGGCTGGGCGGGCGCCGCGGGAACGCCAAGTGTGCGCGGCCGAGCGGCCGGTAACGGTCACCCTGCGGCTGAGGCGAGCAGCGGGGCCGCCAGCCCGGGACTCACTGCGGAGATTGTGGATGAGCTCGGAGTGGCTGGCGCCTCCCGACTTCCAGGCCATCGCTAGACACGCTCTGCGGAGCAGGTACAGAGCCGCCTTCAGCACCGCGACTGCGCACAGCAGCTTCCCCAGGAAGGACACAACCTCCAGCGCCGACACAGGCACCGCCTCCTCGCCGCCGCCGCCGCCTCCTCCCCCTCCCGCCGCCGCCGCTGCCGCCGCGCGCTCGCTGAGGGGAGGGGCCACGCGCCCACCGCCCCGCGCGCCCGACATTCTCCGGCCGCCGCCGTTGCCGTGCCAGCCCCTGCCGGCCCCCGCGCATGCGCGCCCACTGCCCCCGGGAGCGCGCGTGGGGAGATCCCCGCGCGCCGGTCCCTTCAGCCGCGACGGTGCCTGGGGGCTACCAGCAGGCGTGGGGAAACCGGCCTGGCCTACCCCCTTCCCCCCCCCGCGGTGCCACCGGGGGCACCCGGTAACGCACGAACGCTCCTGGCTGCCTCAGCACGTCGTGACCACTCGCGGGGGAAGGCGGGGCGCACGGGCCGCTTAATCCCTGGTGCCGGTAGCGCCCTCCAGCCCGGGCCCGGAGTCCTCCCGTCCCCACAGCTGCCATCTGCGGCGCCTGTCGCGGTGGCAGGGCGCAGGTCTGGTTGCAGCGGCCGTGGGTCCTGTGCCTGCCACAGAAGCGGCATGGCCACGGGGCGAGACGGGTCTGCGAACTCAGGAGCTGTGTAATGAATGAGCTAGCGAAAAGCACGTCAGTTCTCTCACTTCCCCGGCTTTGGCCGCTCCCATGAAGCGAGCTGGCACATGCCCCATCCCGAAGAAAGGGAGCGGTGAACCAGAGGTACCGACGCCGCTCGCGCCCCTCCACCCTTGCGACAGAGCCAATTATCGCCGTCCCGCGGAGCGGTGCTGTGCATGGGGCTCGCCGATTGGTCGCGACCAGCCCGCGCGGGCCAGGCCTACGTGTTGTAGGCTGCCATTGGTCAGCTGCCGCGCCCGACCCCGGCGGCGGGAGACTATCAGCGGCGGGCTGCCGGGGCATGTGGGGTATTCACGTGGAAAACGACACAGAAAATGGGGAAGGGAAGCGGGTTACGGGCGTTGGCACCTGCGTCTGTAACTAAACGCTGCCAGGTGATCTACAGCAGCATCGTCTGGCGCGCCGCTGTGGTAGGATGAGGTTAGAAATTGAAGTGCCTTTTAAGAGGTGTCTAGATTGCAAAATCAGTAACTCAAGAAGACATGCCAAAGCACTGCTTCTGCTGTGGCCTTTACTCTGTCCCAGCACAGGCACATGACGAAGTCGTAGCCGCAAGGGAAAAACAGCACTGTTGGTTTATCCCATTGTAATGCAGAAACCCACAGAATTAACTTCCACAGTCATGAGGTATTCCTGGGTACTCCTGACCTCCTTCATCATTAGTTTTACCAGCTATATTCATTTGCCACCTGTTATTTATATGTTTCTACTGGTTTTAAGGGAAAGCAAATTCCAACAGCAAACAGCTTTGGGGAGCCTGCTGCTGCCAGTGATGTGACTTTTGCCTTTGTGCCCCTTCTGGTCTCTGAACAAGCTGCCACAGGCCCAGGACTGCAATTGTACAGTATTTCTTCTCTTACCCGGGGGCAACAGCACAGGTATGTCATTTACATGGTATCAGACAGCACTGGTTTCAGTTCTTTGCTTTTGAAAAGTGAGAATAGTGATACATAACTATGAATAGGTAGGCCCTATCAATAGTGCATTGTATAAACATTAGAGAAAATAAGGTATCATCCAGCAGATATTTCAAATGTTATATTGTTTCCTAAAAGCATTCCTGATAACAAGGACACATAGCCCTAACATTGTGGGAGACACAGGTATCGTCTTGGGTGCAAGAACCCACCCTAGGAGGGATGAGCCTGTTCCAGCTTCACATAACACATATTCCCCATCCCATCACTGCTGGTTCACATGAAGGTGGGAATCTGATTTTCTGGCTATCAGTTAGTCCAGGGCAAATCTGGCAGTTGCCCAATGCGTACACCAATCCTACCACATACACCATGGTCCCACCTATAGACTTCCAAGACCTTTCCCATATGGTTCTTTTACTCCTGGAGGGATATCCACTGCTTTATTCGGTATTCTTCATCTAACTTCTCCTAAGCATGGCTTGGCAGATGCTTTACAGTCTGTGAGGGAATCCCAGCCTGCCCCAGAATATAAAAGATCTCCCTGTGCATCCAGTGGGCTGGAAGAGAAAGAAGGCATGGAGTTACAGGAATTCCTGAAGGGCAGCAAGTATAGAGAACAGACAGACATTGTAAAAGTACACACACAAAAATACTGCATTGTTTTAAATGCAAAAACCATCTTCTGTTGTCAGATGCAAGCAACTGCATTGCTCTCACATAGAGAGGTTGTTGGCAAGAAACTAGCTGGCCCATGTTTAAAAGCATTCCAGGGATACTTACCCCCTCGGGAGACCAGAAACACAAGAGAAACCATTTATATACAAACTGACGCTGCTTACCCATACAAGCTCGAATTAGGGTTAAGCTTGTCACAGGCCACAGGGAGAGCCACCTTTATCTCCTAAGCACACAGACCTGCTCAGGTGCTTTTGGACTGACTGTACCTGTTGGCCATCTCTTGGCTACGTTCTCAGCATGACTATTCAGAGAACGACAACAACATAACTGAGCCTTCCCAAGCAATTTCTGGGGTGTCTTGGATGGATACCAGGCATGTGTGGAGGAAACAGCATTTAGCTTGGCAGGTTTCCATGAGCTTTAAGGCAAACCAAGTTGTCTCAAAGAGCCCTGAGAAACCAACATGTATCAATAGCAGCAGGATTCACCCATGTGTGCAGTCAACAAATGTGGGGGTCCTTAGCTCTTTCTGCTCTATAATCCTAGGCCATGAGTGCACTTTTTAATCTTATTAAGAGCATATCCATTAAGATAAAACTAAAAGGAACACAGGGATTCCATACTAGAGTAAAAGACAAGCAGAAATAAAAAAAACAAAAACAAACCAACCAACCTGTTTTCTGGCCATCAGCATTCACATGGAACCCCTCCATCTGTTCTGACACTCAGCATTCCTGTTATCCTCTTCCCCTCACTTGTCCAAACCAGTGTAAACACCTTGCTCCCTGGATGCTCACTGTCAGTTCCAGGCACCTCCAACTTCCACAGGTACACCATTTCCAGGGAGCTGGTTCATGGATAACCCCGTTAGGGAAGAGCCATGGAAATGCCAGCAGCCAGTGTGAGCTGTCACTTGATTGTTCTGACGTGGAGATCCCACTAATTGTAAGCACATCGGATCTCTCTCCTTTTCTGCAAATTCACCCACATCTCAATCCCTTAGCAGTACTTACATACATTTATATAAAAACCCCTCCATGCTACTATTTCTGTTTCATCCCTTCCCTCCCACCTCATGAACCCATTATATTTTTCAAATTCTTTGAATTTAAAGCATATGAAAAGTTGATCATCACTGTCTGATCCCATCTGCTTCTGCATATACATACCACAAGCAGAAATTTCCTTGTAAAATGAAATGTTCCTGCTGAACATTTCCGCAGTTCTGTCCCAAACCCCACACTAATTGGCTTCTACACGTACATTCCTCTCCCTGCTTCCATTCTGTTTCTAACTTCATCACTCTCCTTCATTTCATCTTTTCCTGTAAACTCCAGCCAGTTTGGTGTGTACCTTCATTTTGTATTCCCCTGTCAGAAGCTTACATTCTTTTGAACTCAGCAACCTTCTTTTCCCAGTCCTGCACTCAGAAAGGATATGAGAAGGACCCAGACTTTCTTCATTAGAGCAGAGGAGTGGGACCCCTCCATGCATGAAGGTAAGCCAGGAGCCAGGGATGAGAATACCACACAGCAAGACACCATCCCAAGCAGAGCAGGGCTGGGGTGGTAATGGTTTTGCCACCAAGCAAAAGCTAAGTGACAAGTCAAGTCCCAAGTCAAGCCAGCCATCGTCAGGGGCATGGCTGGGTGCAGGCCCTCCTACAACACAGCTCAAACCAGGAGTGGTGGGAGCCTCAGGTGAGGACTTGTGAAAGCCTTCAGGGCCCTGGCACTCTGCTCTTGTATCTGCTCTGCAGTACCCTGCACAGCGACTGCGGCTATTCAAGAGATTGAACAGGGCACCACTCCAGGAGTTATGACCAACCATAAATATTATTCTGGCATCTGCAAATAACTTTCTTAAAATATTGTTGAATGATAATTGGAGGCAAGTAGATCACAAGCAAATATTGCTCAGAATTAGCTTTACCCTGCCCTAATACATCCACTGATGTAGAAAGTGCCTTCATTCCCAGGCCCTCTAACCTCTGGCAAAAAGACAGACATGCTTTCTGTTTTCCTGCTTTTCACTCACACTCCTAGCCACATTTAAGGTTGATCCATAGAAGCTCCTTAATGTCTCAGCTAGTATGTTTGGACACAATGCCCAAAGTCAGCTTTGTCTAGACTTAAGGTCCTTTTTGACTACCTCAGACATATTTGATGAGGCATATTTTCTCCTGGTGTTTGTTTCCTCCTTTTATTTGTTTATTTAAATCTGCTATTACACTGAAACAGCATACTAACACAGTAGTCATCTCTTACAGTAATCAAACACAGAGAATATATTTAAAGGTATACAGAGCAGCCCTAAATCCATCACAGCTCCAATCTTCATCACATAACATTTTGACATTTTTTCAAACAAAAATTTAAGGCCAGTAAGAAAAATTGTGATTCTTCTTTCCCTCTTAATGAGAATAAACCTCTATGTCCAACCTACTCCCCTAAATCCTTTTGAACAAACAATCCTAAGCAAAGAAAGAAGCCATTCAAGAACAAGATAAAAAATACACACAGAAATCACAAAGTAACCCACAAAAAATACTTGGCTAATAAAACATTTTGGTAATCCCAAAGTGTTCTCTCTTCCATTTTAAGCTATTTAGAGTGTAGCTGTATCTTGAGGATGCCTATTGACCTTTCTCCCAGGTGTTACGAGAATTAGCTGAAAATACTGCTACAGTTGACAGTGACTTGCAGGATTGCTTTTAGCAGCTTTGTACAGGCTGCCAGAGGTATAGGATACTCTTGAACAATAATGCTACTGTGACATACAACAAAGCTAGTTTAAGGCTTGCAGTATGTTACACTATGATAGCATCCATCTTTGTGAATGTGTTGGAGTCTGCATAACTATCAAAAAAGTTAAGAAGTTCCTCAAAGTTGAAGTTCAAATTATGCCTGAAGTATATATTACTG